TGAATGAATAAGCAAAGAAAAAAAAATATGTTACTTCAGATGTCAGACAGCCACAGATCAGTTGCCTTAAATCTTTTATTTCAGAGAATAACTTCTGTAAACTGTCGTGATGCGTCTTCCTTCATGAACAGGTTTTGGCACAAAAATCCTGCACCGCGTCTGTACTCACTGGAGAAGCAGAAAAGAGATTTTTGGCAAATAAGCAAGGTGAATCCCAATATTGAACAGGTTAAAACTGGAAAATGCCGTGCCTTATCTGCTTTTTCAAAAGGAGAGGTCTTTTACACGCGCCGTGCCCTAATCTGAAATCAAGCGGCAGCTTTGTAAGAGTGAGGAAAAACCTGGCTCGAAAGAAGGTCTGGGTTAGGTCATAGCAAAAATCACAGTTAGTGGGAATATCTTGGGTTTGAAGGCGAGGTCTCAGCCGTTTGTCCAGTTCTGTCAGGACCGAACACCATTTGGTATTCAATTGACTTTCTAACTTAGGAGACAGGACTTTCCATCTTCAAATACTGAAAATAGATTGCATTCTTGGCCCTTCGCTTTGAACGGTTGGGGAGAATAAACGCACACCCTGGTCGTGTTCTAGTGATCTCCCTAATCTCGGTTGCACTTTGTCAGGACGAGGTAACTGGTAGTTAAGTGAAATACCTTAGATCAAAGGGGGATTAATCGCCAACTGAATCCTTGCTGAATAAACCTGTCATTCAAGAAAATTATTTCCACTGAACTTAGCAGAGGATTGAAGGTATTTGCATAACAGGGACCAACGTACTCCAGCCAGGTTAAAAGGTTCAGAATTCAGGCAGTGTTTAGCTTTTTGGCTCCTTTTCCTTTCAGCGGCCCTGTACAATGGTTTTTAATCTGATAATACAGCTAACTATCTAAATGATGTCAGAACAGGAAAGTATTGCAAAGTTTGGCTGAGGGATGGATCAATTTCACTTTCAGTAACTCCTAAATCTGATTTGTCGGAATTTAAGATGTAATCCTTAAAAAAAAAAGTCCCTTTAAACCGAAGGGCTGTTTATTAACATCCTTTTTTTATTTGACCTTTGTCTTAGAAACACCGGGTCTTGCCTGCTGCCTTACGCGGGGCTCTTTGGGAGCGTTTCGGACAGGTTTGTACCCGCGGCGGCAAGCAGTGCCCGCAGATCTCCATGCCCATGCCCGCCGCGCGTGTGGAGCTGGGCAAACGCACACACGCACAGACAGATTTTCAAGCTTCTTTTATTTTCTTTTTGAGCCCGTCTTTCAGAGGTCACGCTGAATTCGAATGTGAGACGGAGATAATTAAATAACAGGACCCAACAGGCTGCCATCATTTTCTGGGATCAGCCCTCGGAAGAGATTTAAGCACCGCAGCCTTGTTCAGGGTTTGTTGTGCGGTTGTGGCAATGCTTTTAAACCGTATGAATTATCCCTGTTTCATGGCAGTTGCTTTTTGCTGTGACTTTTCATGGAGAATTCATTTCTCGAAGAGAGAAGAAGGGCTCTTCCAGGGCTGGAAGGCAACGGCTTTTTAACCTGTGATAGAAAAAATGGGAAAAACAGTTAAAAACTAATTTTTTTCAGATTTCTGAAGAATGCTTTCTTGCTGTCTCCCTCCCCAGCCTTCCTGGGGTTCATTTTGGAAGTGCTTCCACCTCTCCTACCTTTTGGGCATATGGAAGAATGGCAAGCTACATGGCGGACGTCAGGTTTCATAATCAGATTTTGACAATAAATGGAATTTAGCCACTTCTGCATCTCGCCTGCGCCTGACACCATTCATTCTTTCGGTGGGTGCCGTTCATATTCATTGCAGACTCAAAGCATCTTTCAAGCTAAAAAAATCGCAAAGAATGGTTATCAAAGAAAATGAATAAAATCCATATTGAGATAATTTTTTAGAAAATGATTGAAGTTTTAACCCAAGAAAGGACTCTTAGAGTTTCTTATAGCTTAGAATAAGAACATGTCAATCACGATTAAGCTTCTGGAATTGGAATCCCTTTGAAATGCAGCTGTTTCTTCTTTAATTGTGGCAGCGGACTCAAAAGAAAAGAAAGGTCCAGCCTTAAAGATGAGTAAGGAATACAAAATAGCTCAGGATTAGTTGTGGAGTTCAAAGGTCGCTAATTACACTAAGGAGTTCCCAGACACAGGGAAAACATTAAACAGGTCACCTACCAAATGGGAAACAGACTTTGACTTAAAAAAAAAAAGGAAAGAAATAAAAAGATCCTGAAGAGATAGGTTTCTAGAGAAAATCAAAAGCGAGCAGCTGATCTCATTGGGAAGAAAATGGGTTGGGTTGAGTTCTCTGCTGTTACATGTCGCTACAGATGGCAGGCATCAGGCTTTCAAAAAATTGTCTAGAGCTCAACCAGGTTTCCAGGAGCCTCCATGAAAGCAAGAAGGGGAAAAGGGGGCAGGCCTTTGCCTTCAAATGTCTGATTTTCAGTTGCATTGTGGGTTGTGAGTCCCTGAAAAAAACTTCCATGAGGGTTGAGACCTCCCCATCAGCATCTGGCTTGATTTGTGGAGGATGAGCCATCTTGGTGAACGGGCGCATCTTGAGTAGGAAGCCATTTGGGAGAGCCTGCAGCCCCTTTGCGAGCAGTGAGGTGAGGTTTGGGGCACAGTGGGCCATCCCTTCCCCGAGGAGAAGCACAGCTCCTCTGTTTTCCAGCTCCCCTCTGGCCCCATTGACCTGGGATGGACTGGCGGGACTGCTGTCCTTCCAGACATCCTGCACATGCAGCAGTTCCTTGTGGACCAGCACTCCAAGTTCCAAGGGTACCGGTTTCTCCTGGATGGCCCCTGGGGACACGCTGCTACTTGTCCTGTCTCCTAGAAGGGCTGCAGTAAGCCATGAACCTCTGGTCCTTTGGATCTGGGTGTGGGTGGAGAGTGCCTGTGGCTTTGTTGCCAGTCTGCTCATAAGAGAGATCATTTTTAGGATAAAATTTTTAGGAGAACGGAGCCTGTTTTCTCTCAGATCCTGCTCCCCTGCATGAATCATCGTCTTATTCCTGAAAAATCATATTCCTGCAAAAAATGGCAGATTGGTGCATCAAAGGGAAAAATGAGATTTGTGGAAATAATGAAGGAAAATTTTAGATAATTGAGGAGATACACCTATCCAAGTGGCCTATGCTGGGCCCATACAGGGTCTGACTTGTGCCCAAGTAATTTTTAGTGTTGGTATCAACAGGAGTCAGACTGAGAGTTAAAACTCTATTCTGTTCCGCACACCTGAATAACTTGGGGTGGCATGAAGGGAAGGGAGTGTACGAACAACTCCAGGGTGTCCCTGTGGGCTTCCCACTGACATCCGAACAGTGCCATGGCAGCTCTTCCAAGCAAGCTTGCACTTCCCAAAGTGGGATCCACAAACCTCTCGTCTAACGGCTCCTTTGGGATTGAGGGCTGCAGGGATTTCCTGCCATGGTGCTCTCAGGATGGACACAGCTTTGGGTGGGCTTGGTTTTCTCCACCCTAGAAGGTGCTGTTGGTAATACCTTGTATTTTGTCCACGCTGCCTACAGATACAACATGGTCCAGGTTCAGATCCCAGCCTGAGGACTGAGGAGCTAACGGACAATGGGACAGTGGGAGGCAATGTGGGCGATGGTGACAGTAAAATAAAGCTTGGAGAACTCCAGCCATGGGAAAGAGGGGGAATAGGACCAAATTTCAGTGTGGTCAGAAAGCTGGTAAGTGGGTGCCTATAGGCAATAAGTCAAAGAGAAAAGTCTGCCCAGGAGAGCAGGTGTTCTCTGAACTGTGGCCATCCTCTACAGGATGAGAGAACAAGGTGGTGGTTATGGAGGCAGCAAAAATAGTGAAGGAGAAACATGGGCTTACTCACAAGCTCTGTTACGGCTTAAAACTCAGCAGGGCTTGCACAAATAGGGCAAAATATGACAAATTCCTAGGATAGCATGAATAAATAGAGAACAACTGCTGTTAAATGTTTAATGCCTCCTTGTTTCAATGTTTACTTGTTAACAAATGGCCAAAGTAGTGGATACTGGTAAAAACAGGATAAAAATGCAGAGATGGGAAGCACTAAATTATGTAGGAAAGTAGCTGCTTACAAGTTATCAGAAGTAATAGGATTTACCCCAAAATACTTGAGGAACTGGCATATACCATCTTGGAGCTGTCACCAAATACCTTGGGAGCCTGGTGGGAGGAAAGAGCTTGCAGAAAACTAGAAAAGCACTAAAATACTGAGTAGTGATAAGTAACAGCCAGCATGGATTTGATGACATTGAACCATGGTAGGTGGACTAATTCCCTTCTGCGATGAGAGGAACAGGCCCTGGGAATGTTGGGGGGACACTCGCTGTCTCACACTTGGACCCTGTTGATGCTTTTGACTCTGTCTCCCAATATGACTGGCAAGCTCAGGAGATGTGGTCGAGGTGGCTGTGGTGGGAGGGTGTTCCCCGGGGGGGCTGGGAAGCTGTTCTCCAGCAGTGGTTACCAGACAAGGGAACGTGGGCTTCCTGGTACTGTCTTGCTTCTGGTACAATTCAAGACTTGGAGTGTGAGGAATGAACATAAGACATACGAAGCAATCCCTCTCCTCACCATGGCACCTCGGTTACAACCCTTTGAACACACCACTTTGAGGGAGAGGCAGGCTACACCACAAGTAGCAAGGGGGCAGGGGTGAAGAACAAGGGAGATTTTGGTGTGAAGCTCAGGAGCTCTCAGAATCTTCAGAGTCGGGACATTTTTCTAGAAAAGGGCACCATGTGGGTTGGTGAGAATCACACCAGTGCCAGGTACTCCTGCATTTTTGCTCCTTGTGCATCCAGTGATTGCACTGGTTCTTCTGGCCCCAGCAACGCACACCTAAGCTGCAGACTAGGTCTTTTTGACACTCTTTGGCCCCCTTTTTCCTCTCACCCTATATTGATGGCATCTGTTCTCAGATCCACACCTTCGCACCTGCTTGTGCTGGAACATCTGCTTTTATTTTTCTCCCCTTGAGACATCCAGACCACCAGGGTTTGAACAAGAGCTTCAGCACCTGCAGTAACCGCTGCTTCTCGGCCATCGCACCCTCTGGGAACTTCATCAATGCAAATTCCCAGTTTCCTTCCGCACGGCGTTAAATAACCCAGGCGGGCTCCAAAACATGTTGGATGACGGCTCCCCATTGCCACTGCATTTGGAAATGTCAGTCAGCTTTTACTGTTTAGTGGGTTATACATGGATTTTTGCACTATTTTAATTTCTTAGCGGTCTGTTACATCAGTTCTCTTTGCCAACTAAATGTGCAGTCTCATCCAAGAAGTTTGACAGTGTGTATCTGCTTTAAATTCAGGCTAATTGGCATTACATTACCCCAAAATTTTAATGAAATGAAACAAATTCATTTTATTAATGAAGTGAGCTCTATATTAACTTCTTACTTATTTATATCCCTTATGTTGTTTGGGAAAAACGTCAGGCTGACAAGTCAATATTTATTTAAGTCCTTATGTTTATTCTTTTCAATTATTTGCATGTTAGTTTTCTTCTAGCCACCTGAAATGCAATAGTAAGCCTGGAGAACCCTTTGGCCACCTCTTTTGAAAGTCTTTGTGCAAAGCTATCTGCATACACCTCATACGGTCTATACCTGTGTTGAAATTATGAATATAAGCACTTCAAGCGGCAAGCACTCTTGTAGAAGAAACAGCTCTCTGTACCAAAAGAGAATTCTTTTTTCCCTTTAACACAGAGTATTTTTAAAGAAACTGTTGCATTAAATGCTTGCTGATTATTTTAAAGGGCTAAAGGAATATCGCTGACACAGGGCCTAATCACCTTTAGAGCCCACCAGAACTACTGTTAGATACCACCTCTGCCGCCGAGTCCTCAGGCTCACATGAGCTGTCAATCGTATCTTCCTGATTTAGGTTTTTGAAGTGTTTTTTCTCCCTCTTAACACAGGAAAGATGGTCAGAGCACGTAGAGAAACAGTGAAATTGGCTGGGGAACTACCAGGGAACACACCGAGGTGCACTGAAAGGTTTAGTCATTTGTAACTCCTTGAATTTTGGCTTCCAGCGTCCTCCCCCCAGTGTCCCTCTGTGCTGCCCAGCCCTGGAGGCACCCAAAACCTCTACGCACATCACTCGTTTCTCTCCACGCCTTCTGTGCTGCAGGTCACGCCCAAAGGTACCTCAGTTGTGATGGACCCGAGTTGCTAGCCGTCTAGTTTACTAAGCTTAGTAAGTTTACTACTAACCTGACTTTATACTAGTTTAGCTTACGAAGATTTATGAAGCACCCACGACAACGAGCCCTTCCCAAAGGCCAAGTGGAGCCATCATGCCAGGAGCAAGGCTTCATCTGATTCTCTCTGCCAGCACGGGGGTGTCTCCGTTATTGCACAAGACCGGTGGGTTAAGGTGTGTGCCAGTTTAACCTGATCCGCTTTGCTGGCTCTTTCATGGGTGCTTTCTGACTCCAGCCTGCCAGAGAGACCTCGGCCACGCTTTTAGAAAAAAGCAGACACAGCCTCCTTTCCCCACTTCTCTTCCTATAGAGCTGGCCCGCTGCAGCGAGGGCGTGCTAGGGTTATAATGCAGAGGTTTATAGCGAACCCTTATAATCAAACCAGGTGACAGCTTGCATGAAGTTGTAGAAAACTGCTCAGGGCTAGAAGAGAAACATCACCCACCGCCTCCCTCCCTCCGAACCTGCGCTGATACGTGTGCACAACGTCATCCACAGCACCATCCCTCTCCCATTCCCGAGTACTGCAGCTCTCCTAACCTTAGAGACACAGACAAAAGGGAAACAAAAAGAAACACGATTTGGGAAGGACACCCTGCTACTAAGTGCAAGGGGATTCTCTTCTAACATGCTGCGAATTTTGACAGTCCGACTGTTTCACAGCATTTCTTGGGGAAATGCTGTGAAGAAGAGCAGCCATTCCCCACAGTGCTGCTGTGCAGAACAGACAGCTCCCATCCATCGCGTGGGCAGGCAGAAAGCAGGCGCCGCACATCGATCCCTTGCAGCAGGTGCCCAACATACAGAACATGATCTAAACCCTCCCAACAGAGAGCCCCTCTGCCCCCTCACAGCGTGGTGTCCAGGCTTGCGGACGACTTTTAACAGGTAGGGGCTGGATTCTGGGCAAAATCATTAAATCACTTTTTGCCTGCTCATCACAATGGACTCGTCTGAAACGGGTCGTGGCACAGCTGTTTTACAAGTTTGCATAGCAGTTTCAGCGGAACGGCATGTTTCCCATGAATTAATCCACCCTGTAGAACATTTAACCAACCAATTAGATTACTATCTCAATCTAAGCATTTTTTAAATTATAGCTTAAAACTTTTCTCCTTACATAATCACTAATCTTATTTATCACACAGCGTACAGTTAAACAAGAGGTACGGCGGGAGCAGCCGGCATGCTCGGTTATTAGATGGCATTCTTCTCTTCTTTTGTGCTGCTCTCTGGGTTCTCTGTTTTTCACCACCCTTGCAGAATTTGCTCATTTCCTGATAACTCTCTTAAAATCCATTTCCTGTGTTCCTGCAGATACCAATTTTCTCCTCAAAATTAGAGGTCTGCCTCTGTAAACTCAGTCCTTTTCTGCCTGTTTTTCCAGGGAAAACAGCTCAGTGATGCTTTTTGGAACCTCCAGCAAACTTAGCTGGCTCTGCCTGCTCAGTACTAGTCTTGTGATTTGAACAACCAGGTTCACGCATCTGGATGCTCCCTAACATGAGCTTTCAGAGCAGTGCAGTCCACAGGCACGTACGAAAGGGAACTCACCACTTCTGCTGACAGAGGCAGTAAAGACTCCTGGACCATCTCCACTTTCAGAAGCGCCGATCATGCCATACTCCCTCTCTTAAAATTCTTGTGAATTACTGAGTCGTACATATTCTGTACGTATCTCGTGAAAATAACAGAACTCTTGCTTTTAATTGTCCCGTTAATCTGGGATCTAATCAGGTTCTTGTGACTTCAGGACAGCAATATGACACTGAAAGCTTTCATGTCCCATGAGCTCTCTGGATTACAAAACCAGTGGAGTAACTGGGAGTTCTCCCAGCAGACTCGCCCAATCATACCCTCCTGTATCTGTATCACTGGGTACCTACTTTGTACCAGTTAATGTTTGAAGGGCAAGTAAAAATGGCCACGGCAACTACATTTCAAGTTGTCTTCTCTAAGCTGTGACCCAGGACTACACAATTTAAAACCAACTTCACTTTTTAAGAGAAGTGGCCTCTTTTGGTTCTCCTCAACAGAAATTTTTAAGCAAACATACAAAGTACAAGTGCTGGAGAATATTTATTTTCACTGTATCATGACATTACTCTCATTAGCTGTTTTGTTTAAATACAAAAATGATTCACAGGCAAATTAGTCAAATAAGGTTTTGTACACCATAGGTGCTGGTGCTTTGGAATTCCAGATGAAGTAATCAGAAGAAATCAGTTCCCGGGCTGAAAAAAAAAGAAAACAATCAAAAAACAGGCAAGAAAAATAAGCATTTCAGGGTGCCTTACAATCAGACATTCCTTCGTCCAAGTTAAGAGACTACTAATCCATCCTTACTAGTTTACAGAAAAGGTGTAATGGCCTCTTTAAACTGTAAGACTTATTATTATGTGAAAATCGTTTCTGATAATATGACATTTAAAGTCTCAGCTTCAATTACTTTTACTAATGTATCAGACATGAGCTTAAAATTCAAACAGAAGTTAAGTCAAAAGCAAGTGGATGGCTTGGATTTTGCTCAATGAATATAAATTGCATACTCGATATAAAACATGCAGTATGAAAATGTTGCTTTTTTGTGTTACAATTTAGGACTGAATGTGACCTGTTACAAAATTAACAGTGTAAATCACAGTTTTCAAAAGGCATTTAAAGACTTCTGCTAACATGACTGACACATAGACAACTACACACAAAAATGCTTTCATTAGACAGGACTGCTCAGATTTAACGAGTGTCTGCTGTGTTCCAAATTAGTGTAGTTTTGGTGCAGGCCAGCACCTCAGTGTCTCTCTTCATAGAATCATCGAATGGTTTGGGTTGGAAGGAACCTTAAAGCTCATCCAGTTCCACCCCCCTGCCATGGGCAGGGACCCCTTCTACCAGAGCAGGGTGCTCAAAGCCCCATCCAACCTGGCCTTGAGCACTGCCAGGGAGGGGGCAGCCACAGCTTCTCTGGACAACCTGGGCCAGGGCCTCTCCACTCTCACAGTGAAGAATTTCTTATAGCAGATTTGGTTTCTGCTCCACAGATTCAGTGTAGTACCAGATCCACCCAGGGACGCTGGTGTGATGACACTGCCAGCAACAGTTTCACCGTGCAGGCAGGAGCTGAGTTCTGTACCTGGGCATTGCCAATCCACATATCACGTCTCTGACCAACTGTCCTAAACAGGGGGCCAGACTACAGAGAGGTGTTCTCTGCCCTCCCAGTAAAAGTTCTGCCATTATGCAGAGCATAGTAAAACATCACAGGGCAAAGGGAAGAGAGCCCAAGAGACTTGGTAAGTGAGTAATAAGAGCTTTCATCAAAAAGGGTGATGCCAGTCTCAGGGATGCTTTAAGCATCACAAAAAAACAAACAAACAAAAAACCCAAACAAAGTAGAGAACAAAATTTCTGGGATGTCCCAAGCAAGCCAGGAAAAAGCTTTGTCCAACTTCAGCTACATAATTTTAGTCATTGATACTTAGTTCATAACTTCAATACACAGTTACATAAGTGGCATTTTTAGCAACTCACATGCTGTAATTTTGGGTTTTCCTGGTACAAAGATCTGAATACAATGCTGGTCTACATAACATCCAGTAAGTGTAACATCTGGGATCCTAAAATACAGCTAGAGAAAGAGAGGGAAAACATGATCAGATGCATGTTGTCACGCTTGCTGCGCAAATACTGGCAATCTGTGTTACACGCTCTCGGTGTGCAAGCGTACTCTAAAATGACAGGATGCCAAATGCTGTAAGCAAGGAAACAGAAAACTGCACGCTGAGAACAAAGAGGCTAATAGTTATGTCTGATTTAAAATGACTGTATCTT